TGGCATGGCACCAGTTGGGGGCGCAATCAGAAACGGGCAGTTGGGGCTGGGCACGCTGGACGACGCGCTCGTGCCCACGCAGATCACCGCGCTCGCTGTAAGCACCCCCACTCCTCGCTGTAAGCACCCCCACTCCTCGCTGTAGGCACCCCCACTTCCTCGCTTAGGCACCCCACTCCTCGCTGTAAGCACCCCCACTCCTCGCTGTAAGCACCCCACTCCCTCGCTGTAACTCCCCCACTCCTCGCTGTAAGCACCCCCCACTCCTCGCTGTAAGTACCCCCACTCCTCGCTGTAGCACCCCCACTCCTCGCGGTAAGCACCCCCACTCCTCGCTGTAAGCACCCCCACTCCTCGCTGTAAGCACCCCCACTCCTCCTGTAAGCACCCCACTCCTCGCGGTAAGCCCCTCTTTGAGTCGACTCACAGGTCACTTCGTTGGGGCTGGGCATGCTGGGCGACGCCCTCGTGCCCACAACAGACAGATCACCACGCTCTCTGTAAGGCCCTCCCATTCCAAGTCCGCCCATCCCGGCACTCATGATGCAATCACGCCTCCTGCCTTATCATCACGCACGCCGCCTGCCTCTTACCGCTCCACTCAGATTGTTCCCTTGCCCTCCACTTCCAACCTGCGTTTCCCCTGCCATCCCCTACCTCTGCCCTCCCCTCTACCCATCCACCCTTCCATTACCCACCAACCCATCCATCGCCTCTCCTTCCGTCCCCATACCCACCCTCCCCACCTTCTCCCTCTCTCAACCCCCAACCTTCTTCTCCCCCGCCTCCCCCATTTTGCCCCCTTCAGCCTTCCCCCGTGCAGGGGGTGCCGCTGATGGTGGGGCAGCGGGCGCAGAGCACACAGCAGCGGCAGCGGAGGATGGACGGCTGTACGGTGGGGGTGGGGGCGCTACCCCTCCTTCCCCGCTACCCTTCCCCTCTCCATTTCCACCAACCCATACATCACCTCTCCCTCCTTTTCCCCCCTCCCCTCTTCTCCCTTCTATCCTCCACCCCCCCCACCTCCTTCCCCTCTCCCCCACACCACACCTTCCCCCCCTGTGTGCTGCAGGGGGTGCCGCTGAGGATGTGGCAGCGGGCGCAGAGCACACAGCAGCGGCAGCGGAGGATGGACGGCTGTACGGGTGGGGGTGGGGGCGCTACGGCAACCTGGGGCTGGGGACCGCCTTGACAGGAAGCTGCCCGAGCAGGTCACCGCCATTGAGGTGCGTGGGGGGATGGTGAGGTAGCGTGTAGGGTCATGGGCATGGGTGAGAGGTCAATAGGTGCATTTAGGGCCACAGGCATCGGGGTGTGAAGGGGTGGGGGTGGGGCGCTACGGCAACCACTGGTGGGGGACCGGCTGGCTGGCCAGGAAGCTGCCCGAGCAGGTCACTGCTATTGAGGTGCATGGGGGATGGAGCGGTGGTAGCATGTAGGTGACAGGCAACAAGATTGGAGGATACGTGGGTTGCGACCAGGGTAGGGTCACCTCCATCCAGGTGAGTTTTGAGTCGGTTGCATTCCCCCCCTCCCTCATCCTCGCCCCTCTGCCCTCCCATGCATCGCCTCTCCCCTCTCCACTGCCCCTCGTCCCTGCGTCTCCCCTGCTGGCAGTCAGAGCGCATAGCACAGGTGGCGTGTGGGTGGCGGCACACGATAGCAGTGAACGGGGAGGGGCGGCTGTTGACGTTTGGGTGGAGCAAGTACGGGCAGCTGGGGCATGGCGACTTCCAGGACCACCTCACGCCCTCGCCCGTTCCAGCCATGCAGGACAAGCGGATTGTGCAGGTGAGGGCACAGCCGTGCATCGTGCAGGTGAGAGGATTCGTGTGAGTTGTGCTGCTGCAGGGAGGACGCTCTCGTCCTCCCTTTCCCCCCCATTCGAAAGCCGTTTCAATTGTGCACTTGACACATCAGCACCTGCTGACCGTCTCACTGCCCTCCGCTCCCCCGTCCCCCCTCCTCCCTACCTTGACTGCGAGCAGGTGTCAGGAGGGTGGCGGCACTCCGTTGCTCTGGATGCAGATGGCGTGGTGTACGCGTGGGGGTGGAACAGAGTGAGTGGGTGGAGTGGAACACAGAGGGGGTGAAAGTGAGCGAGAGGGAGTGAGCGGGAGAATGGAGTGAGAGGCAGTGAGGGAGTGAGAGCGAGTGAGCGGCGGGGAAGGGAGTGAAAGGGAGAACGTGGTGGGAGAAGAGAGTGCTTGATGCTGGTCTGGTCCCCTGACCTTCCCATAACCAGTGCTCTTTCCTTATACTTTCTCCCATCCCTTCTTATACCACTCTCACCAGACCCCTCTTCACCTCTCTTGTCCTCTCTGCACTCCCGTCTCCCTGCCACACTGCCTGCTCGTCCTGCCCCACCTCTTGCATCTCCCACCCATCAGTTCGGGCAGGTGGGAGTGGGCAACTCGGAGGACCAGTGCTCGCCGCAGCGGATAGAGAGCATTTCCGAGGTCAGCTGTGTGTGTGCTGGGATGGGTAGGGGAAAAGGTGCGGAGGGGGATGGGGGGGATGGTAAAGGGGACGAGCATGGAAGATGAGTGGGCTGCCACAGCAAGCGTGGCCCTGTGGTTGCTGCACTGGTCCCCATCTCGCCACATCCACATCTTCTCCCCACCTTTGCTCTTCCACCTCACTGCCTCACCCTGTGCCCCGTCTCACCCTCCTCCCCACCTCCCTTTCTCCCTATGTTTCCAAACCCTGTGGCGGCAGCGGGTTGTGGCGGTGGCGTGTGGGTGGCGGCACACGGTGGTGTTGAGTGAGGGCGGCAACGTGTTCTCCTGGGGTCGAGCCCACCAGTGGGCAGCTGGGCCACGGGGATACCACCGACAGGTGGGGCTGCTGCTGTGTGTGCAGGACAGTCAGCCCATGCAGTGTGGTGAGATGCTTGAGATTTCAGTGCCATGGCGCTGCCGCTCATGCCCATCACAGGCTAGGTGGGCGGCTCATGGGATGCCATCATAGGGCCTGCTGCTCTTGCCTGTCTGCACTCTCTCCCTCCCCCGGCCCACTTTCCAGGAACCTGCCCAAGCGAGTGGAGGCGATAAGCGCGGACGTGACAGGTGTCGCCCACATCAGCGGGCCGGGCGGCAAGAAGGACGTGGCAGCAGCAGCTCATGCGGAGGTTCCGGATGCCGCGGCCACGTGGGTGTCTCCTGCCGAGCGCTATGCCGTCGTGCCAGGGGAGAAGGTGCGAGGGTGAATGGAGGGAAGAGGGAAGAGGGGGGGGGTTGACTTTTGAGTCGATAACAGTCTACCACGTGATGGGGGCAGACTGCCACGTGGGTGTCTCCTGCCGAGCGCTACGCTGTCGTGCCGCGGGAGAAGGTGGGTGGGGAGGAGTGGGGGAAAGAGGATGGACTGTAGGGTGGAAGGAGTTGCGGGAAGAGAGGAGAAACTTGAACCACACCCGTGTGAGTGCTCTCTCAGGTCTCTCATGGTGACTGCTCACTCAGGTCTCTCATGGTGACTGCTCACTCAGGTCTCTCATGGTGACTGCTCACTCAGTCTCTCATGGTGACTGCTCACTCAGGTCTCTCATGGTGACTGCTCACTCAGGTCTCTCATGGTGAGTGCTCACTCAGGTCTCGCATGGTGAGTGCTCACTCAGGTCTCTCATGGTGAGTGCTCACTCAGGTCTCTCATGGTGAGTGCTCATCAGGTCTCTCATGGTGAGTGCTCACTCAGGTCTCTCATGGTGAGTGCTCACTCAGGTCTCTCATGGTGATTGCTCACTCAGGTCTCTCATGGTGAGTGCTCACTCAGGTCTCTCATAGTGAGTGCTCACTCAGGTCTCTTATGGTGACTGCTCACTCAGGTCTCTCATGGTGAGTGCTCACTCAGGTCTCTCATGTGAGTGCTCACTCAGGTCTCTCATGGTGACTGCTCACTCGGGTCTCTCATGGTGACTGCTCACTCAGGTCTCTCATGGTGAGTGCTCTCTCAGGTCTCTCATGGTGAGTGCTCACTCAGGTCTCTCATGGTGAGTGCTCACTCAGGTCTCTCATGGTGACTGCTCACTCAGGTCTCTCATGGTGACTGCTCACTCAGGTCTCTCATGGTGAGTGCTCACTCAGGTCTCTCATGGTGAGTGCTCACTCAGGTCTCTCATGGTGAGTGCTCACTCAGGTCTCTCATGGTGAGTGCTCACTCAGTCTCTCATGGTGAGTGCTCACTCAGGTCTCTCATGGTGAGTGCTCACTCAGTCTCTCATGGTGAGTGCTCACTCAGGTCTCTCATGGTGAGTGCTCACTCAGGTCTCTTATGGTGACTGCTCACTCAGGTCTCTCATGGTGAGTGCTCACTCAGGTCTCTCATGGTGACTGCTCACTCAGGTCTCTCATGGTGAGTGCTCTCTCAGGTCTCTCATGGTGAGTGCTCACTCAGGTCTCTCATGGTGAGTGCTCACTCAGGTCTCTCATGGTGACTGCTCACTCAGGTCTCTCATGGTGACTGCTCACTCAGGTCTCTCATGGTGAGTGCTCACTCAGGTCTCTCATGGTGAGTGCTCACTCAGCTCTCACTCATGGTGAGTGCTCACTCAGGTCTCTCATGTGAGTGCTCACTCAGGTCTCTCATGGTGAGTGCTCACTCAGGTCTCTCATGGTGAGTCGGGGTTTGGAATGCGGTGCTGCCAGTACGCTTCCCTTGAGTTGACTGCCTTGCATGCATTCCGCGGTGGCTTGCCCTGTCAACACCTGCCAACCCGCACTTCCAGTTACCATCCAATGCTCTAGCAGCGTCCATTGCCACTGTGACCTGCTCTTATGCTCCTTTTGACCGATGCACATGCGGTGCTGTGCGGTGCTGCCCTCATTGCATGCAGGCGGGAGAGGACGATGCGAGTGTGCCGGATGCTGATGCCAAGCGACTCAAGTCGTGAACAGTGGAAAGCTGTTGTCAACCCAGCTACCAAATCCTTTTCCCAACGCGCCACCCCTATTCCTAGTTGTTTCTCTCCAATTAAATTGAGTAGGTCTGCACATCACATGTGTTGTGAAGAGCTTGTATTGACTCCCTTCCCTGGTGGGAGTCCAGGGCTCCGAGGTGACAGGCCACAGACGGATTGCACTGAGCAGAAAACTTAGGCCGACAAAATAAACATATAAGCTTAGCTGGCACACATGACAATGAGTTTGAACAGCCTTGCAACTGCCAAGAACCTCCACACCAGAGGGTTGCAGAGTGTTGAGAACACAGAGAACATCTGCTGGGCATCCACGCCATAGTAGGCGATTGAGAGGTGGTCTGGTCCCCGTCCACATGCAGTGCGCTAAACCCCTGGCGGTGCGCTCATTTCCTCAAAGTAGTGGAGTACATTCGCTGGCCGTCCACACCATAGAAGGCGACGGAGAGTCTGTCCCCGTCCACTTCGAGTGCGCTGAAGCCCTGGCCTGGGAAGTAGACGCACAGCCCTGGGACACCTGATGAGAGCCCTCATTTTTCCAGAGTGGTGGAGTACATTTGCTGGCCGTCCACGCCATAGAAGGTGACTGAGAGGCGGTCTCTGTCCACTTGCAGGGCACTGAAGCCCTGGCCTGGGAAGTAGAAGCGCAGCCCGGGGGCTTCTGAGGGGGCGTCGCTGCGCCACGCCTTGGAACCGCCTCCCACCGTGAAATAGTGCACTGGACTGGAGTGGCAGGAAAGAGGGCGGAGGGGAAGGGGGAAAAGAAGAGAAATGAGGTGGAATGCGAGGGGAGAGGGTTGAACGGTGAGAAGGTGAGGACAAGGCGGAAAGAACGCAATGAGGTATTTTCTTGGTGCAGATATGTCAGTCTATGGTGGAAAGGCAGAGAAGCGTGCAAAAATGCATGCACTAGTATCAGTACCTGTCATCCCTCTTCACATGCTGCATGTCGTGGTCGTGGCCGTTCAGATATGCGTCCACTCCGTACCGCTGGTGTGTAGTGGTGGGGGGAGAGCAGATGGAAAACAGGAGAGTAAAAGAACAGCACATAGACATGCGAGGGCGGGTCAATGTATGCACAGGCACACAGACGTGGGTCATCTATGCATCTCACCTCGAGCAGCGGCTTGACGCGGTCGATCATCTCCTGCTGGTCGCCGTGGTGCCCGTAGCTGAACACCGGGTGTGCCCCACCACCACCTTCCACCGCGCCCGCGAGTTGCCCAGCCACCCCTCCAGCTCCTGCAGCACGTTCGGGGGAGGAAGACGAAGGGGAAGAAAGGGAGTTGGGGGAGGGAAGAGGCACAGGATGGTGAGACAGAGGCCGCGAGCTGTGGGCACCAGAATGTGGCAGAAGAACTGTCTAAAAGGGACGGGTAGGGGGGGATTGCGTTAGTATCAAGAGCTTTGGGAAAGGGAGGCAGTTGCAAGCTATGGTGGTGTGAGCGATGTGGAAGGGGGCAGCATAGCAGCAGGTGGCTTCCCCAAATCACCTGCAGCTGCGCGGCCTCCTGCAGCGTCCAATTGGCGGAGTTGAGTCCGCGCCAGTCCACGCGCCGCCCCTTCTTGTGGCGGTACGCGGGCACGAGGGGCGTGGTGTCGTATAGGAACAGGTCAACCAGGTCAACGCAGTCAACACTGGCGGAGGGGCAGAGCGGAAGCGAGAGCGCCATGCTGCGGCGGCACACCCAGCGCGGGTCCCTGTTGGCGAGGGCTGGGTGCAGCTGAGCGAGAACGTTGCCGTAGTAGTCGTGGTTGCCCAGCACTGGTGGCGGGATGGGGCAGGGAAAGCGGGGAGGGGGTTGGGAAAAGCGGAGCGGTGTGATGTGGCAGGCGGTGAGCAGTGTGGCCCTTGTGTGTGCGTCTGAGCGTGCAAGTGCGACAAAGCGTGAGAAGCGGAGGGGAAGGGAGCGATAAAGAGAGCGAGGGTGGGAAAGGAAGAGGCGTACCTGCATACCAGGGGACCTGCAGGGTGCGGTGCGTGTAGATGTTGGTGAAGGAGCGCGCGAACTCGTCGTCGTTCACGTCCGTCAGCCCCTCGTCGTAGAAGTTGTCCCCCACCGACACCACGAACTGCGGCGCCATTTGCTGCCCCACTGCACCCATCTGGACCGCACAGGCGTACAAGGACAGATTTGTGCATTGCATTGCAAGAGAGGTGTGTGTGGATGGGGTGTGATCACAGCGCAAGGGACGATGAGAAAGGGTGTGCGTCGCACCTGCTGTGCGATGAGCGATTGGTTGAAGGTCCCGTTGCGACCCCAGTCGCCGAATGCGAAGAAACTAACAGCCGCGCTGCTGCTGCTGCTGCTGCTGCTGCTGCTGCTGCTGCTTTCGGCGGCACCATCAGCGCGTGTCGCAAGGCCAGCTCGGCGCGGCTCGAGGAGGCAGAGCGCGGCGAGCAGAGCGACGCACCCGACGACAGCGGCGATCCTTGCAGCTGCAGCGATGCGACGTGCACCCGGGGAATGCGGCGTTGAAGGGCTCCCATCGCTGAGCGTCATGTGTCTTGCGGGAGCAGAAACCTGAGGAGAGGCGACGGTGATGCAACGAGGTGAAGAGGAGGGAATGTAGGGGATATTGGGAGGAATGCGGAAGCAGAGCCGCGCAAGAAGACAGATTCATCATGAACTGCAATGCGCACATTTCTGGCTCATCACGACGCATGCCCCTTCGCGCTGCGCCGTACCTCGCGCGGCAACAGCGGCGTGGTGACGTGGTCCACATCGCTCGCCGCCTCCGCCCCTCCCGCCATGCCTGCCGCTGCGAACTTCTGTCTCGCGTGGGTCCGTCAGGGTCAATGTCGCCGGCAACTACGCGCCGCTGCTCGCGAACGAAGGCGAGCGAATTCGCAATGCTGCTTTGAGAATGGCGTGAAGCAGCGAGGAGGTATGGAGGATGGTGGTGGTGGTCCGTCAGGCAGCGACGGTGGGCAGACGCACGCGCTCGGGCCTGGCCTCGAGATGTGCTGCGTGGGGATGATGCCGTGCTGCTTTGGGCTCGGAAGCACCGTCACTTGAAGCAAAATAGCCTCGGGAACTGGCTGCCTTGGGAACAAGTTTGCCCTGGGAACTGCTTTGCCCTGAGAACTGTCTGCCTTGGAAACCAGCTACACCAGACCCAAGGAATATACCTTCAATAACTACACTCCACGAACGCGTTGCCTATTGCGCAAGAGTTTTTGACACATAGGAGAAATCGCTTGTTAGCAATTTACACCGATTACACACGGAGTGTGCACTCAGATTGCTTTCAGCTTTCTGGGTCCGCGAACCTAGTAACGAGGAAGTGCCGTTTCGTCTTCTAACCGCCATCTGTTACGCCTGGAATGGTCACAAGAAGCCAGAACGGGACGTTTCGTCTTCTCGCTTTCCCCAACGACATCGGCCGCGCGTTCAACGAGCGGATGCAAGAAGCTTTTGGGGGAGCGAGCGAGCGCAGAGCCAGCAGCGGAACCGAGCGGTCAGGCTTGTTGCGCGAACCCCTCACCCAGAGGTGAAGCGAAACAGCTCCATTCACGTGGCTCCACCGCACATGATCGGGTTAGCGGTAGCGATGCTTGGTGTAGCAGGCACGATGCAGTTGTACTCCTCGGGCGCTAGGCGCTCAATTCAAGTTGCGCGCAACGACTCGAGGCTCTGCTGGTTCCAGCAGGAGATGGCTAACTAACCGCCGCAGCTCTGTAGGAGGATACCTCCGAATGCGAGCACACGCACCTGAGAGCAGCAACTAACCACCCGTCACGCGCATCCACCCACACTACTACGAGGTGCAGCATCGCCCGCACGTTTTTAGAAGCGTTCAGACCTGCTCAGACCCTTGAGAGCTTGTGAGCTGCCGCTATTTGTAACCTGCGCGCATCACCCGCATGGCTCCGCTCACCCGCGCCACCGCGCTGCCTGCACAGCGACCCGCCGCATCACATACGGACAATTCCGCCGCCAACCTCGAGGCGGAGCCCAGCGCCATGCGCACTGTCCCCCGATTCCTTCGGCTCGCAGCCGTCTCCGCGCGCCCCTCCGCCTCCACGCCCGCCAAGCCAGGGGCCCGTTGCGGCTGGTGCTGCCCGCGGGAATTGGACGAGCACCGGGCGCCAGCCGGGCACAGAAGCAGGAGGGGGAGCGGCAAGCGGAGCAACCGCGCGAGGAGGCAATCAGGGGAGCATCCCCCGCCAGCAGCGCGCGCCCGCTGCTCTCCGCCAATCTGGGGGCGCATGGCGCGGCTTCCAGGGGAACCAAGGCGCGGGCAAGGGCGGCGGATGTGGATACGGGGCAGAGAATGCGCGGGGTCGTGGGGGAGCCGGCAAGGAAGGGAGGCGGACAGCCGTGACGGTAGCGGCGGTGGCGAGGGGGCGATGGAGGGGCGGATGGAGGGGGCGGAGAGGAGGGGGAAGGTGGCAGAGGAGAGGGGAGGCGGCAGCAGTAGCGAGGCGAGCGGAGGGCTGATAGGGGAGCAGGATCGGGGGAGCAGGGGGGCGAGGATGGGGAGGAGGACGGGGAGAAGGAGCAGAGGAGGCGGAGTGGCGGAGGGCGGGGGGGAGCAGCGGCGGTGAACAGGGGGGCGTGGACGGCGGAGGAGGACGAGCGGCTGGCGGCGCTGGTGGCGGTGCACGGGGCGAAGAACTGGAGCGCCATCGCTGCTGGCATCCCTGGCCGGCCTGGGAAGAGCTGTAGACTCAGGTGCGTGCGGTGTAGTGCAGTGAGGTGCGGTGGGACGCGCTGGGATGAGCGGAAAGAAGGAGGCGGTCTTGTGTTGATTTGTTTCACCTTTGTCACAGTCTGGTTGCTCTTTACTTTTCCGTGTTTGTGCGCTTCTTCTCTTTGTTTCTGAGCCCATGCTGCATGTGGCATGCACATCCTGCTCCATCTATCCATCCCTCCCTCCCCTGTCCCCCACACCAGGTGATGCAACCAGCTGGACCCGGCGTTAAGGCGAGGCCAGTTCACGGTGGAGGAGGATGCGCGCATCATCACAGCACATGTCCCTCCCTCCTTCTCCCTCCCTCCTTCTCCCTCCTTCCTTCTCCCTCCTTCCTTCCCTCCCTCCTCCCTCCCTCCTTCCCTCCCTCCTCCTTCTCCCTCCTCCTTCTCCCTCCCTCCTTCTCCCTCCCTCCTTCTCCCTCCCATGTCCCCCCCTTGGCAGGTGGTGCAACCAGCTGACCCGGCATTGAGGAGGGGCCAGTTCACAGTGGAGGAGGATGCGCGCATCATCACAGCACATGCCATCCACGGCAACAAGTGGGCCCTCATCGCCAAGAACCTTCCCGGACGGTGCGTGCCTCCTGCCCTAACACCGTTTACTCTGCCACCCGCTGTCTATTCCGCTTCTCTCTCCTCATCTCTCCACAACTCCACATGCATCCCCTCCCTTCCCCCACACAACAACCTCTGATATACTCCTCCTTACTCACACCTATGGAACCCTCTCTTCCCCCGCTTCCCCCTCACGCTCTCCCCCCCACAGCACGGACAACGCCATAAAGAACTATTGGAACTCCGCCATGCGCCGCAAGTACCCTCTCCTGCGCGCCTCCTCTCCGCGCGCGCCGCTCCTGGGCCCCCACAACACTCCGCCTCCCCCTCCCACCCTTCCCCGGGCAGCCTGATGGCAGCAGCAGGGCGAGGGGGAGAGCGCGTACGAGCGCGCAGTGCGGTTTGTGGGGGGCGTGCAGGCGAGAGGCGTGGCGGCGCTGGTGGAGGAGGTGGAGCGCGTGCGAGAGGAGGAGGGCGTGGGGCGCATCCGCAAGATCCTGGAAGGTTCGCCCCTGGGGGATGCGGCGCTGCTGCAGGCTGTGGAGAGGGAGTGGCGCGAGAGAGAGGCGCGCGGGCGAGGGGTGGAGTGCATGGGTGGAGGCGAAGGGGAGGACGTGGGAGGGGAAGGAGAGGACGGGGGGGTGAGGGATGGGCAAGTTGATGAGGAGGAGGGGAGGCCGATTGAAGGGGATGTGCGGGTAAGCGAGGGAGACGAGAGGGCGGAAGGAATAGGCGAGGGAGAGGAGAATGAGGATTGGGGGGATGGGGAACAGATGGCGCAGGGAGCAGGGAGTGGGAGCAGGCGGGCGGGGTAGGAGGGGTTGGTGATGGGGGGAAAGGGCAGCGAAACAATGGAGGGCTGGGAGCCAATGATCAGAGGTGGAGGAGGAGAGGGAGGGGACGGAAAGGGGCAGGGCGGAGGAGAGAGTTGAGGGGCGAGTGGTGGCAAGAGGAGAAGCGGCGATGGGAGAGGCGGGAACGAGAGTGGGGCTGGGCGTGGAGCAGACAAGAACCAGTGCAGGCGAGGGTGGCCGTAGGGAGGCAAGGGGGCGGTTGCCTGCTGGTGGGGCTGGGTGGACGGGCGGGCGAGAGGGGGCACAGGGAGTGGGGACTGGTGAGGGCGAGCGGTGTTGTCGTGGGCGCCATGAAAGGGAGGCAGTGCAGCAGCAGGACATGGTGGGGCGAGGGCAGGGGTTGCACCAGGGGAGTGCAGGGCGATGAGGCGAGAGAGGGGGGAAGAGGAGTGAAGCAGGAATTGGATGAGGGGGTGAATGACGTGGAAGTGGTGGGGAGGAATGGAAGAGGAGGGTGAGTGGTGTGCGCCTGAGCCACACACCTCCACAGCATGTGCTCTCCCTCCGCCCCTGCCACACTGTGACGTGCTGCCTGTTGCCACCCCCACCACTGCCACCCACCCCTTGCCACCCCAGCCAGTGCCACCCAGTGCCACCCACACCAGTGCCACCCCGCATGCCAGCCACACCAGTGCCAGCATCAGCCATGGCGACGAGCGGGGGTGGTGCCGTGCAGTGAGTAGGCAGCTAGGGGCATACCTGGAGTGGAGGCGTGTTATGGGGGTGATTATGGTGCAGTGGGGCCCAGCAGCAGGAAGAGGCAGTACGAGGCTGCGATGATGGGGCTGACTATGGTGGTGCTGGTGATGCTGCTGCTGCTGAAGTGCTGCTGCTGCTGCGGCTGGAAGTGGTGGAAGTGTGGAAGTGGTGGAAGTGGTGGTGGTAACATGAGCCAGCTCGGGACCCTCGCCTGCCACGTTGATCGCCGCCTTCGCTTCCGAGCCTCACCCACTGCTGTGCCTGCACCTGCTGCTGCTTTGGCACCACTGCTGCCGCCTTCCACCCTTCCCACCACCCCTACTGTTGCCACCTCCCCCTCCCTCCCTCACACCTCTCAAGGCACCACCCAGCAGCCACACACACTGTCACCATCACCATCCTCCCCACCACTCACTCCCTCTTGCCCTCCCTCCCTCACTCACCCCCACCACCACCGCTCTCTCTCCCGCCCTCCGCATCTCTCCTCACGCTTTTCATTCGCCATTCTCCTGCCGGGCCTCTCCCACTCCTCTCTCCTCCCTGCTACCCACACTCCCTCCCTTCTCCAGCCCTCTCAACCACACAGTCCGCCAATGCCCCTTACTTCCCAGGTAGGGGTAGGCCGGGTAGCTGAGAATATGGTGGCGGTGGCACGAGGGGCGTTGGTGGAGGGGGTGGGAGCATGAGGGGAGTGGGTATGGGGGCGTTTCAGCTGGGGAAGGCGTTTACTGCAGTGCAGGTGACAGGGGGCGATGAGAGGATCCGCAGGCACAGGGGATGTGAGGGCGAGGAGGGGCGTGGGGGTGATGAGGGGTGTGAGATGGCCGTGAGAGTAGGGGAGAGGCGAGGACAAGAGCGGGAAAAGGAAGGGGGTTGCGGAGGGGATGGAATGGAGGTGACGGGGGTCATGGAGGAGGAAAGCAGAGAGCAGCAGGGGATGGAAATCTGTGGGTCAGAGCAAGAGAATGCCCTGTGCTCACACGGAGGACATAAGACCTACTCACAGCCCTTGCAGCACACGCTGCACCCAGACACATGCCTTGCTGCAGTCCCAGAGCCAATGCAAGACTGCCACGTGGCAGGGCAGGGGCGATGTGGGGGTCGTGTGCGGCGGCACGTGCATCGAGTAGCGGCGTCGGCATGTGGGGTGGCCCATCTGCTGCTGGAGGAGCTGCAGCGGCGGCACGGAGTGGAAACACGGGCAGATAAGGAAGCGGTGGAGGAGCGGCGAGGGGAGTCAGGGAACGTGAACGGGGAGTTTGGTGAGAGGTCACAGGCGGGAGAGCTGGTGGGGGATGCAGGATGTTGCAGGGGTGAGCGGTGCTGCTCGGTGAGCAGTGGTGGTGAGGGTGCAGCAGAGGGCATGGCGTGCCGGCATCTGCTAGATGCCATGCTGACTGTGTGCCTAAGACTTGCTGCTTCAAGTGGGAATAAGAATAGGGAGTGCAGAAACTGTCTTGCTGATGCAAATGTTCATGCTCAGTTTTTAGAGGGTCCGATTGATCTATCTATTATAGGAAAAATGTACAGCCAGTTGCAAACAATATTTGGAAAGTTTTAAAGAAGATTCCCGGCACCATTCTATCTTCTGTAAACATACCTTGTCATCTTATACTGCGTACAGTGTAACAGCAATAGTCTGGATGTAGAGCATGCGTTGACCCGTTCATTGTCAAGAGCCTCTATGGGAGTTCCTAAAGAACACGCTTTGTGCCGTTAGTGGCCATCCCACCATCCTCAGTTTAGTTTACGCGCGCTATTCCCGCCACTCCTCCAAGACACAATCGAGCCCCACCGTTCTCCGAGTCAGCTCCCGTTAATTTTGTGCTCTCCCGTCTCTCCTTGCGCGGCCGCGCAAGATGCCTTCGTAGCTGGGCCCTAGACCGCGCAATTGTCGCCGCAATCGCCGCCGCGAGTCCCCCTGCTGGGTGCGCCGCGTCATGGCGAGGGGCGAGGCGCGGAGAGGTCCCGCCCGGGCCTCGGGGAAACGACCGCACGCCGCCTCGTCGCGAGCAGCATCGTCGCATAGCACGTCGCACGGCGCGTCGTCAGCGTCGCCACGATCGCCGTCACCACAATGGCACAGTAGGGGCCCCGCAAACGGCTTCCCCCCATGGGCGCGGCGTGAGAGCGCGGGAGCGCGTTCGCGGAGCGAGCGGGCCGATACTGCGCGGTCGCGTGGCGCGTGGCGGGGGCGGCAGCGCGGTTGGCGGCGGCGGCGGGCTTGTGGGCGGCGGTTGCGGCGGCGGCGTTCGTGATCCGCGGGTGCGCGTCGCTGGTGCCGCCGTCGCTGGGGTCGGCGGTGCTGCCGCTGGTGGGCGCGCTGGTGGGCATGGGTCGCACCCTCGGCTGGCTCGTGCTCCTGCCCTCCCTCGTACGCTCCCCCCCCGCCCGCCCCCTCGCCCGCCCCCTCGCCCGCCCCCTCGCCCGCCCCCTCTCCCACCCCCTTCCATCCACCCCATGCCTCACACATCCCCTCCTTGTGCGTGCAACCCCCCTGCCACTCTAATCGCGGCCATCCCCACGTGACTCTTCCCTTCCCTTGACGCCTCCCACACCACCTGCTTTGTACCCACTTCTGCCCTCTCTTCCCCCACCCAACCCTCCGCACACGCCCGCCTCCCATCCGCTGCGGCGAGCAGGTGGTGCTGGTGCTGCTGCTGTCGTTCTTCCTGCCGCTGCTGCTCACACTCGCGCTGCTGGTGCTGCTGGCGCTCTTCACAGCGCTGCGCGCCAAGCTGCTGCTCTTCGCCCTCGCCACCGCCCTCACAGCAGGTCAGCCCCGCCCCATTCAAAGCAGGGAGGATTGTTCAAACACTAACTGTTCCCCTTTCTTGCCCACACACACGGACAGGCTCGCCTCCCCTTGCTCCCCTTCTCGTGCTCACCTGCTCCTCCAACTCCCCAACGCCAACCCCTCCCACCTGTGCTCTCTTCCCCCTGTTCTCCCGCGTGCTCCCGCACCCACCCCCCTGCATCCACCAGGGATAGTGGCAGCGAGCGGGTCTCCTCGAGCAGCACTGCTGCTGCTGGTGGCATCGACGGTGTACCATGTGGTGGTGCGCGCGGGGCTCACCACGCTGTGCCTCACGCTGCTCGCCTCCTTCCTCGCCGCCGACCTTGCTGCTCCTCCTCGCCTCCTCCCTCCACGACGACCCCGCCCAACCCGACTCAACCCCTCCGAACCAGTCCCAAGCAAGCGCGGCTGGGGGGGAGAAGTCAGGAGGGGTGGGGGGGCGGCAGGGGAGGGGGAAGCGGGGTTGGCAGGGGGAGAGGGGGGCAGGGGAGAGGCGAGTGGGGGCGGGGAGATAGAGCGCATAGTGCGGTGCGGCAACCACTACGGGCTTCGCCTGGCGCCCTTCTGTGCGGCTGTGGATGAGGGCGCCCTCAAGAAGGAATACCGCCGCATGGTGGGGCGGGGGGAGGGGGGGGAGGGGGAATGGGAGAGGGCGCATGGGGGGGGCAGGGTGACTTGGGAAGAGGGAGGGGCTCGGGGGAAGGGGACGAGGCTGGGGAGGATAGGATTCTGGGAAGAGGCTGGGAGAAGAGAGAGTGTGAAGAGGTTTGTGGGAATTACGCGTGAGCTTGTAGTATGGGGTCAACTGACCAAAGCAGTGGCCGACTGACTGTGTTGATTTGTGTGTATGTGCGTGTGCATGTGTATGTGCGTGTGCGTGTGCGTGTGCCTGTGCATGTGCCTGTGCATGTGCATATGACGTGCAGGCAATGCTAGTGCATCCGGACAAGCATGGGGAGGACGAGAAGAATGCCATAGTGGCGTTTCAACGCCTGCAGAGCGCATACGAGGTACACCATGCCATACGAGGTACACCATGCCATACGAGGTACACCATGTGCTCTCTTCACAAATGACTCACTGACCACCAGTGCACGCCACGCCACGCCACGCCACGCCACGCCAACGCCATGTGCTCGTTGGCATCCCCTCCCTTCTCCCTTTGCTTGTGCTTCAACGCGGTCAGTTGTGCGTGCGTGCGTGCATGCGTGCGTGTGTGTCTGTGTGTGCATGTGTTGTGTGCGTGTGTGTGTGTGGTGGTGGTGGGGCTGAGGGCAGGTGCTATCAGACGAGGGGAGGCGGCGAGAGTACGAGGGCGAGCTGAGGCGCGAGCAGCTCGTGGAGCTCATCACACGCAGGGCTGCACACATGTGGCAGGTCCGTGCTGACGTGGCAGGTCCGTGCTCACGTGGCTGGCAGGTCCGTGCTGACGTGGCAGGTCAGTGCGATATGGCAGTCCAGTGTAGTTTGGGCTGATGGCGAGTTAGCTTAGCACTGGGGGTGCGGGTAACTATGGAGTGGTAGGCAGACAAAAACTGATAAGAACGGGGGGGGGGCTGATAGGGTGCCGTGTGTATGGTGGTGGCAGGAGGCGGGGGAAGCAGGTGAGGAAGGCGTGGTGGTAGGAAGGCGGATGGTGTCCCTGATAGCTGCTAAGATATGGATGCCTTTATGTCCCACTACTATATGTCCGTGCTTCCTCCAGAACCCTCCCCTCCCCCCGGAATTCCCCCTTCCCCCCCCCTCCCCGCTTACAACCCCATGTGGTGTCCAGACGAGCAGCACAACAACTGGCAGGGCGGCAGCAGGGGCATGGGCGGGCAGGAGGAAAAGGTGGAGGGGGATGGGGCAGGCAGGGGGGCAGCAGGGGGCGAGGAGGAGGAGGGGGGGCGGCCAGTGGCTTGCACTGAGTGTGGGATGGCGCATGTGTGGCGCCCCGTCTCCCGCCCCTGCAGCCAAGCCCGCTGGTGCCAGGTGGGGTGCGATGGGGTGCATGGGGTACACTGGGTGGAGTGGGATGCAGTGGCAGGTGGGGGCGTGTGCAGTGGAGGCTGATGGTCATAGGTGGAGTGCAGTTCGAGTTCTTCACTTATTTTTTTCATGGGAGGAAGACTGCGTACCATGCTTTTGTGCAAGTGTAGGCGTCTGTGTGTGTATGCCAATGTGCCTGTGTGCCTGTGTGCGTGTGTTCTCGTGTGCGTGTGTGCGTGTGTTTCTCGTGTGCGTGTGTGCGTGTGTTCTCGTGTGCGTGTGTGCCTGTGGTCTCGTGTGCCCGCGTGCATGCGTTCATGTGGCAGGAGTGTCAGAGGCACCACCCATGCAAGGAGGGGGATGGCTGGGTGGAGCAACTTCCCCAGCCTGCCTTGTTTGGCATGCTATCTGTTGTGAGTGCACATGCTGCCACACACTCTGCACTCACCAGCCGGCACAGCACTGCCACTGTCACAGCACTGCCACTGTCACAGCACTGCCACTCTCACAGCACTGCCACTCTCACAGCACTGCCACTCTCACAGCACTGCCACTCTCACAGCACTGCCACTCTCACAGCACTGCCACTCTCACAGCACTGCCACTCTCACAGCACTGCCACTCTCACAGCACTGCCACTCTCACAGCACTGCCACTCTCACAGCACTGCCACTCTCACAGCACTGCCACTCTTACGCCATGCTTCTTCACTCACCTCCCCCCCTGTCACAATGTCGCCATCGCTTCCCCTGCCCCATACCCCCCTTCCGTGCGAGCAGAAGGGCCCACAGCACTTCTACACGTGTACGGACGGGCAGGTCTACCACATCACTGACTGGGCGCGCTGCCAGGTGGGTTGCGGTGCTGCCAGGTGGGTTGCGGTGCTGCCAGGTGGGTTGCGGTGCTGCCAGGTGGGTTGCTCTGCCAGGTGAGCTTCTGTTGTTTGCTCGATTTTCCTCTGCTCGTTCAGCCACCCGATTTCTGCTGTCCACAAGCAACGCTGGACCCGCAAAGCTGGGGCTTGATCATGGAATGGTGACTTGCAGTCTGGAACACGCTTAGCTCATCTGGAACGTCCCCACAGCCCCCTCAGCCTCTCAGCAGCCAATGGTTTGGGAGTGAGTGATGTGTTTATCAAACATATATGTGATTCTCCTGTGTGCCCCGTGCGCCCTTGCTGCTGGCAGGGCATGCAGTGCCCGCCCAACACGCACAAGCCCTCCTTCCACTTCAAGCTCTCCACTCACCCACCCTCGCCGCCTGCATCCTCCGCCTCGCCCAGGAGCCAGCGCCAGAGGGGCAGAGGGGGCAGGGGCAGCGCCCGGGGCAGGGAAGAGCGCGAGGAGGGGGTGGGCAGCAGGCATGGCAGGGGGCAGCAGCGGCGGCGGAGTGCGTGTGGAGCTTAGTGAGGAAGAGATGGTGACCCTCCTCGCCCGTGCTGTGAGCACTGGCGCCTTGAGCCCCACCCAGCTCTCAGATGCCCTCAGAACAGCATCCCAATGTAGTGACAAGGGCCCACCCCCTCGGCGGAAAGGCAGGCGGCAGAAACCTCACTAAGCAGCAATTGGAAACACCACCAATTCAGTTGAAAGCAATTTTATACCAACTCGTGTCCTTCACTCAAGGTAGAAGGTTCTATGTGCTGATTTTATCAGGGTATTACCCATTTCAGGGTGATTTCAGACTTGTCCACATTCATGGTCCCTGTAATTTCAGGTTTAACGTCTTCTGAACACTGATCTTTGTCAGAGTAGTACTTTAGCGACCTGGAATTTTGTATACACTCAGAGTAGTGTTCTGAAACCCTGTCCATCAGATATGCGTCCTGTTAGTGAATGCAACGTTTTATCGGGACAACTTCATGGATTCTTCGTCCTGATCACATGTTTCGTAATCATGATTTACGCTTGCTATCTCAGAGACTGATTCGCGCTATCCAGGTTATCGCAGTACACTACTTTGATGTTAGAATGACTAAACATTCGATTTCTGTTTTGGTTATCTGTAAACTTAAACCGAGAAAACAAGTCACGATCTGGCGGATCGACAGTGATTCGGCAGGAGAATTTTAAAAGAGAACCATCCGTAGTGAAACACCTATTGCCATGTGACATAGTTTTTTAGTAATCAGCGTGTTTTTCGCTAACTTTGAAAAACATGTGTACATTAGAATAATTGTGAAACCTAACGGAACACTAACATTGAAAACGTCCCCTCCCCCAACCCACCCACCACCCCCTCACAACAACGAGAAAATAATCCATCCGTCGAACATTCTAACAATCCCAAAAACTACAATAAATAAAAACACTACATTCCTCCCACCCCCCCCCACCAAACCAGGTCTCCCATGAGCGTCCCCCATCTTCCTGCCCCCCGTCTCCCCCTTTTGTGCGGACGACCCGCGGTCACGAAATACCCCCACCCCCACCCATCCCACTCACTTGCTCCCTCCCCCTTTGCACACCCCTCGCTCTCGCCCCTGCGCCCCTAGGAGATCCTCCCTCCCAAGCCACATGCACTCCCTCCAGCCAATCCGCCAATCCAGCTAGATTTTTCTCGCGTCAAACACGTCACTGCTTTTCTCGCCAAACTAGAAAGAAGTACAAATTCAACCCTGAATTCAATCCGCCAACCCTGACAGCCCAGACTTACGATTTCGTGAACCCTGAACATCGCAAGAAGGCTCAGGCTTGGCGTTTTGCGGAAAATGTGCCTTCAGGGTAAATAATTTTTAGGGGGATTGAAAACAGGGTACCCATATTTGAATCGTCAGCCCTGGTTCTATACAAAGGTTTTGCATGGTGGATGTGTGTAGTGTTTTTGAATCAATCTGCAAGCAAAACTATGTTTTAGCTGTGCTTGTCTGGTCAACCGCAAACAACCTGCACATGTGCAGGAAATGCAGAGGGCGCTCTTCATTCGCGGGCGCCGATGACCGATGATGCTCGCAACCCTCCAACGCCCTTGCTGGGTTAGCAATAGGCCCAGACAAGCGCAGCCACGTGACCCGGCGGAAGAAGAACGCTCGGAACGAACGCTTCCAGCCCCAAAACGCGGAAGGATCCGCACATGTGCAAGAAGTGCAGTGCGCATTCTTCATTCGCGATCGCCGATTACCAATGACTCCAATACGCCTTTGCTCGCTTGGCAATAGGCCCAGACAAACGTGACCACGTGACCCGACGGAAGAAAAACGCTCGTAACGAACGCTTCCAGCCCCAAAACGCGGAAGGATCTGTCAGTAGAGCTACACTGTGAGATCCCCGATCGATCCTAGGGGGGGTTACAGGCGCGTTTGCCTGGGGGGTTATGGGCGCACTGACCCGCTACTGAAACAAGCCCTTTTATCCCAATGGTCTAGTGGTTGGGATTCTGACATGGTATCAGAGCGGTCTCGGGTTCGAATCCCGGTGTATGCACATGTTGGACGTTGCCACTGTGCTCAGTCCTGGGCCTCCCAGTGTGGGGGGGTGTCAGTAGAGATACACTGTGAGATCCCCGATCGATCCTAGGGGGGGTTACATGCGCGTTTGCCTGGGGGGTTATGGGCGCACTGACCCGCTGCTGAAACAAGCCCTTTTATCCCAATGGTCTAGTGGTTGGGATTCTGACAGGATCCACACATTCGCAGGAAGTGCAGCGGGCACTCTTCATTCGCAAGCGCCGATGACCGATGATGCTTGCAATCCTTCCACAACCTTGCTTGCTGGGCAATAGGCCCAGAAAAGCGCAGCCATGTGACCCGGTGGAAGAAAAACGCTCAGAACGAGCGCTTCCAGGCCCAAAACTCGAGACGATCCGCACATGTGCAGAAAATGCAGCGGGCACTCTTCATTCGCGAGGGCCGATGACCGATGATGCTCGCAACCCTCCCACGCCCTTGCTGGCTTGGCAATAGGCCCAAACAAGCAAAAACACGTGACATGGCGGAAGAAAAACGCTCGGAACGAACGCTTCCAGCCCCAAACGAGGAGGGATCAGCACATGCGCAGGAAGTGCAACGGGGACTCTTCATTCGCAAACGCGTGACCGATGATGCTCGCAACCCTTCCACGCCCTTGCTGGCTTGGTAATACGCCCAAAAAAGCGCAGCCACGTGACCCGGAGGAAGAAAAACGCTCGGAACGAGCGCTTCCAGCACCCAAACGCGAAATGATCCGCACATGTGCAGAAAGTGCAGCGGGCACTCTTCATTCGCAAGCGCCGATGACCGATGATGCTCGCAACCCTCCCACCCCTTGCTGGCTTGGCAATAGGCCCAGATAAGGGCAACCACGTGACCCGCGGAAGAAAAATGCTCGGAACGAGTGTTTCCAGCCCCAACTCGGAAGGATCCGCACGTCTGTAGGAAGTGCAACGGACGCTCTTCATTCGTGAGCGCCGATGGCTGATGATGCTCGCAACCCTCCCACACCCTTGCTGGCTTGACAATAGGCCTAGAGAAGCGCTGTCACGTGACCCGGCGGAAAAACGCTCGGAACGAGCGCTTCCAGCCCCAAAACGAGGAAGAATCCGCACCTATGCAGGAAGTGTTGTCAGTAGAGCTACACTGTGAGATCCCCGATCGATCCTAGGGGGGGTTACAGGCGTGTTTGCCTGGGGGGTTATGGGCGCACTGACCCGCTACTGAAACAAGCCCTTTTATCCCAATGGTCTAGTGACTGGGATTCTGACATGGTGTCAGAGTGGTCTCGGGTTCGAATCCCGGTGTATGCACATGTAGGCCGTTGCCGCTGTGCTCAGTCCTGGGCCTCCCAGTGTGGGGGTGTGTCAGTAGATCTGCACTGTGGATGCCCGATTGATCCTACGGGGGGTTACAGGCGCGTTTGCCTGGGGGGTTATGGGCGCACTCTGACCCGCTACTTAACAAGCCCTTTTAATCCCAATGGTCTAGTGGTTGGGATTCTGACAAGTGTAGCGGGCGCTTTTCATTTGCGGGCGCCGATGACCGATGATGCTCGCAACCCTCCCACGCCCATTCTGGCTTGACAATAGCCCGGACAAGCGCAGCCACGTGACCCGGCAGAAGAAAAACGCTCGGAACGAGCGCGTCTAGCCCCAAAACGCGGAAGGATCCGCACATGGGCAGGAAGTGCAGCGGGCGCTCTTCATTCGCGAGCGCCGATGACCGATGATGCTCGCAACCCTCCCACACCCTTGCTGGCTTGGCAATAGCCCGGACAAGCGCAGCCACGTAACCCGGCGGAAGAAAAACGCTCGGAACGAGCGCGTCTAGCCCCAAAACCCGGAAGGATCCGCACATGTGCAGGAAGTGCAGCGGGCGCTCTTCATTCGCGAGCGCCGATGACCGATGATGCTCGTAACCATCCCATGCCCTTGCTGGCTTGGCAAAAGGCCCAGACAAGTGCATCCACGTGACCCGGGTTTAGGGTTTAGGGTGTCAGAATCCCAACCACTAGACCATTGGGATAAAAGGGCTTGTTAAGTAGCGGGTCAGTGCGCCCATAACCCCCCCAGGCCAACATGCCTGTAACCCCTTCCCTAGGATCGATCGGGGATCACCAGTGGACCTCTGAACACCCCCCCAGGCACTGGGATGCCCGAAGTGCATACACCGGGATTCGAACCCGAGACCGCTCTGATACCATGTCAGAATCCAACCACTAGACCATTGGGATAAAGGGCTTGTTAAGTAGCGGGTTAGTGCGCCCATAACCCCCCAGGCCAACATGCCTGTAACACTTCCCTAGGATCGATCGGGGATCACCAGTGGACCTCTGACATAGGGTTTAGGGTTTAGGGTTTAGGGTTTAGGGTTTTAGGGTTGAGGGTTTAGGGTTTAGGGGTTTAGGGTTTAGGGTTTAGGGTTTAGGGTGTGGAAAGGCTAGACAAAGGTGGGCTTAGGAGCCATGGTTTAGGAGGTCAAGTGAATTGAGTATCGAGAATGTTGAAAAGTCGAGAGTGAAGAAGAAGGGTTCAATAAGAGCAAAGGTACAAAGATATAGGCAAGAACTAGGGTAATGAGGTGCACCACCAAACGGGAAACATAACTACACTAACACTACAGACAATTATATAAATATGAATAACATATTTCGACATAGGGTTGGGGTTTAGGGTTTAGGGTTTAGGGTTTAGGGTTTAGGGTTTAGAGTTTAGGGTTTCGGGTTTAAGGTTTAGGGTTTAGGGTTTGATTATAAAAAATAAGCCTAGTTGCAGCTGCTAGTAAATCCCAGTTTAAGCTGGGGCGGCTTTACTACTTAGGAGGCTCCTCAGGTAGCGTGAGAGGAGGAGGAGATGAGTGGCGTGTGGGTTGGGAAGGTGTGGTCGAATTGAAATTGGGTGGGGGTGCTGAAAAAATTGAAACCGGGGCGCGCATTTGACGCGTGCACCTCGGGAGTCAAGAATCGAGAAATGGGGGGGGGGGGGGGGGGGGGGGGGGAATTCGAGTTGACTTGGCGAGAAAAAAAATTTCTCGCCAAGAAACGACTCGCCCGTCGAAATCGCGATTGTGGTTCAGTGCTGGTGACGCGATGCTGCTCGCGAATTGCTCCGTGAGATACGCGGAAAAAGAGCTATTTTAACCTTTTCTTCTCTTTTCAAGCTAAGGTAATGCACTAGGGCTGCTGAAATTACTGTTGCAAATGCATTTCGGCCATTTGAAAGGCCATCATCAGTGCTAACAGCAGCAAGAGTGGTGAGACCTAGCCTAAGTAAGGAAGAAAGGGTTGGGAAAGAAAGACCCATCCCTTTAGTAGCGCCCCACTGAAATTGTACAACCCCCAAAAGACTATTATATTTTTTTTTCTAAGTGATAAAATCAACTAAGAAAGCAATTAGGTAGTCGTTGGGTATTATATTTTCTTGCTTCCTGTGGCGCGCTCTAGGTGAGTTGAGGCCTGCGTAGTGGTACAATGCGAGGAATACATATGGCATGTAGCAGGGGAAAATGCTAGGCAGGGAAATGACAGGAGGAAATGCAGGGTGAGAATAGATATGTGTGGGATTTGTTATTTTTCTCTGTGAATGTAAACCAGCCTAGGCGACGCGCACAGCTGTATTGGGGCTGTCGTGACAGTATTTTATCATCACGTGCCCGTGTGTGCGCTCATGCCAGCAGTAGCGTGAAGCGTGTGGTGTTGCGTTGGAGCTTGGGGTGGGACAGTAGGTGCTGATGGACGCGTGCATTAATGGTTGATGGTATGATGATGATGTGTGCGGTGGGTTGAGTGCATGCGTGAGGATGTGTCATGGAAGCAGATGTATGCGGGGCGTGCGGGTGTGTGCGGGGAGGGATACGGGCGATGGGCAGAGAAGTAGAAAGACAAAAAGAGGTGTGAATGTGAGCGTTGCAGCCCGTTGTAGTGCCCCTCCAGTAGTCTGTAAGAGTGAGGGTGGGGTGGGGTAAATGAGGATGAGGGAGTACAGAGTAGTAGTGTTGAGGTGATGTGGCTCGGGTAAAATGTGTTGAGAAGTGGGGAGGGGGGGTTCGGGGGGGGGGGCGCAGCCCCCTTCGATGATTGAGATACAACAATGGGAGATGAGGCAAGGCGAGATGACGACATTCAGGGTGAGAGATTGAAGCGGTGTATAAACTGACCTGGCATAGCACTCACGTGGCACTGCATTCTGAGGCATCTGGGGCATCCCCACTTGTAAATGCAGCACGGACTAGCACATTCCTAAGCTTTGGTGCCGCACGAAAGCAAAAGAAAGGCTGTCTGGGGCAGAGCGTCTTCAAGGTCACTTTACTGGTCTCGGAGCGAAGTAGAGATTTTACACGTGGGTGCTCGAGGCTCAGGTGGTACTCTAGTATGAAAGGTAGTACCCTGTTGTCGCGTTGCTTACCTTGTTCTGAGCGCCGTAGGCGTGCATCCCTATCGCTGTACTGTACTTCGTCGAAGATCTGTTGAATGAAGGTTGAGTGGTAGCCGCGTGCCCTTCAAGCGATCTGCGAACGCAGACTTCATACGTCGAAGCCCTCCTCAGATGACTCTCTTAGGAGATAGCGATACAGCTCACCGATAATGAAACCCCGCTTGCAGTGTCGCGGGTGCGCAGAGCGAAACGGAAAGTATTGATAGACGTTCACAGGCTTTTGGTATACCAAGGTATCCAAAAAACCGCCTCCCGCATTCTCCTTCCCAGCAGCTTCCCACTGCATACCTTTTTTGAAAGTGATGTCGAGCAGTGTAAATGATGTGGTGCTGATCTCAGTAGTGATGCGGATGCCGTCCATGAGACTGTTGTACCCCTCTATCCAGCTATGTAGATCTGCTAGCGATCCAGTCCAGACCACGAGTCCGTTGTCGATATATCGCCTGTGCAGTAGTACGTGCTCTGATAGTGAAGGGTATTGTTCCTCCATGAGGGTGTCCAACCAACTCATGAACAGCACTGCGTAGATCACTGCTACTGGGGTCCCCATGGCAGTACCGCGGATCTGTCGATAGAACCTATCGTCAAACTGAAGGTGGTTTTCCGTCATGACTAGCTCCAGCAGCTCGCAACAGGCGCTGAGCTGCTTAGCGGGGCCCTTCTCAGAGTACACCGGGTAGCCATGCTTGCGTACAAATTTGTCTTTCGTTTCTCGAATGGCAGTGAGGCCTTGTTGTAGCGGAATCGACGGATACAGGCTTTCCACATCGTACGTCAGAAAGATGGCGTGTTCAGGTATCGATAGGGTGCGGAGTGTGTGCAACAGGGTGATCGAGTCTGGTAGGTGGGCTGGTGCCAAGGTCAGAAGCGGGCGTAGATAGTGATCTAGTACCTGGCTGGCGTGCTCGAAAATCCAGGGCGTAGATGAGCATATCGGTCTTCCTTTGACGGGCGTTTTGTGCAGTTTCGGCAGTAGGTAGAACCTGCATACACGAAACTGCCCGTGTTCTGCGCCTGCGCGCTCTTCAACCCTTGGTTGCAGGATGTACTCGATGGTTTCCGGAGGGAAACTTCTCTCGTACCTCGAGCACCAGGTGTTTAGACGTTTGTACAAGTCAGTCATAGGTACCGCTTCCACTGGGGTGTATGTGTTAGTGTCTGATAGCTGTCTGAGTGCTTCCGTTCGATACCATGAGGTGTCTAGTAGGGCCAGTCCAAGATTTTTGTCCGCTGGCTTCACCACGACCTTTGGGTTCTTGCCCAGCCTTTTCAAGCAGCGTAACGCATGCACGCTCATGTTCCTGCGAGCTGGGCGCGTCATAAGTGGAAGATGCTTAGAGATCTTCTCTTCCACCTCAGCTATATAGCATTCACAGGGGCAGTGCAGGGTTGGCTGATACGATGGTTTTGGGATACGGAAGCGTGGGGCTGGTTTGTCGGAAGAGAAGTGTGAGATCAGCCTCACACTTCTCACGAAACGTGCGAGGGCACTCCTTACTGTTTTTTCAGTGGCGGATGAGGGTGTTGGGATGAAAGAGAGTCCTAAGCTTAGGCCCTCAAGTTCTGTGGGCGATAAGGTGAGTGAGGATTTGTTGTGTATGAACTTGGAGTTGAGCTCGTCTTGGACAACGGTTTGGGATGTTCACAGGAGGCGTTTCTGGGTAGGGGTCAAAGGGCTGCGAAAGTTGTTTTTCCTGGGCCTTGAACGGGGCTGCTTCCCGGCTCTGTGAAGGCTTACCTGCTGGTTGGTGTCATTTGGTGCAGCTGAGTGGTGTAGGGGAGGAGGGGTTTTTACTTCGTTCTTGTGAGACGTGTCTTTGACGGTGGGGTGTTAGATGAGCTGGGCAGAGAGTAAGAGGGCTGGCCTGGTGTGTCTCGAGGTCTGGTATCGACGTTGGTTTGTTGTTGTCCACTACTGAGCGGTGTGTTTACTGGGCTTGGGAGAGGGGACGTGTTGAGTGGGGGCTGGTGTACATACCTCAGGTTAGCGTTGTGGTCCGTGACTGTTCTTGGGCTCGCAGAACCACCTGCGCTATTCTGGGTGGGAAGGGGAGGGACTTTCACCATAAAAAACGCATGGGGATGGGGACGGCAGCGGGGCCATAGTTGGCGTTAAGTGTTGCCCCCGTACCTCTAGGGGGCCCAAACGCCACCTGGGCTTGTGGTCCTTGTGTAACCTGCTGGGAGGGGGGACCTGTGGTTGCAAAGGGGTATGCTGGTGGCGCAGGTGTTGCTGACATGACCGACATGTTTGAGAGAGCCGGCTGGGCCAGTGCCGAGGTCTGTTGTAAGGGGACAGCCTGTTGGGGGAAGAAGAAGGGATGTGCATGAGGCGAGAGAAGGCTGCCATAGTTCAGGCTGGGATGCATGGGTGCGAAGGGGTAGGGCTGGTACATGTTGGGGAATGCGGGGTCTGCCATGAAGGTGTATGCGGGTGCTGCTGGTTGCGTGGGTGCTTGGGGGGCGGGCTGGGCAGGGGTGTTGGGTTGCTGTGCAGTCTGCATTGGTGCCATTTGAGTGCCATCAGCTGGGTCTCGTGTCTCCTGAGCAGTGCGGTCAAGTGAGGGTCCTGGATCGGGCTGCTGCCCGGTCTGCACTGGCTGTCCTCGACCTAACTGTGTGCTCTGAGGCTGTTCTCTCTGCGTGCTTCTCAACTGGCCCCTCTCTTCCGTGTGTTCCCTCTGCTGTGCCCGCCCTGGTGCTCTCTGTGGTGCACTCCCGTTCGCGTGCATTGCTGGCCTTTCGTACTGTGGGGGGTGTTGGGGTGCCATGCGGAGAGCATAGTGCCGCTGCCAAGGTGCCTGTAAAGCTGTGTGAGCTGTGTCAGTGCGGCGTTGCCTAGACCGGTTTACCTTCAACCCACGCATAGCTACCTTCACCCGCCGCAGCAGTCGCAATGGCTGCCGCGGATGGCTGCGAGGTCCTCACTGCCGCCTGCAGGCTTCTTCCCCGCTGTCTGCCCTCCGCATGCCTCGGAAGTGTTGCAGCAGAGATCGTCGCTGGTGCCGGTTGTGCTGCTACTCCGGCTGCTCCCGATGGCGTAGCTGTGTCTGCTGCCCTTGGTGTTGTTGCTACTGGTGCTGGCGCTGGCTGTGTAGTGGCACTGGTTGAAGCTATTGCTGCCGTTGGTCCTGCTGCTCCTTGCATTTCCGTTGCAATGGCTGCTGGTCCTGCTGTCGTCGCAGCAACTGTTGCCGGTGTAACTATTGCTGCTATTTCAGTCACCCCCCAGGCTTGTATCTCGCCTCCCCCCAGTCCCTCTGCTGATGTTGCTGCTGCTGGAATAGCCACTGTCCCCCCCCGCGGTCCTCCCTGCCTGAGGGGCTGTTGCTGCTGTGGGCTGCTGTGAGGTGGTTCCGTTCGTGCCTTGTTTCTCTTCGCTTCTTTACGACGTTGAGCCCTGCTCTTTCCCGCTGCCTTCCCGTGCTCTACCGCAGTCCCGCTCCTAGGCTGCCGCCGCTCCAGGGCCTCTACCCGTTGCTGTAGGGGGCCAACCAGAGTTTTCACCAGCCCAATCAGGTCAGTAGAAGGGTTAGCTTGAATCTCCTCCCTCAGTGCCTGTTCAGCCCGTGCCTTCTCCCGTTTAGCTGCCCCCCTTGCCTTTGAGTTGCGGCTGCCCTTGATCCACACAACATGGTACATCAGCTCTCGTGCCATGCCCCGTGCCATGTAGTCGACAGCCAGCTCCTTGAGGTGAGCATCGGGTGTAGGGGTATCAGGTGCTGCATGTGTCTCGAAAAGGTGGAGGTCTTTCTCCAGGAAGCTCTCGAAGCGAGAGTATGTCCGTGCCGTCCATACCTCTGCTGCCCCCTCCCAGTGAGCCTTCTCCTTTTCTTTGTACCCTATCAGAGTCAGTTGAGCTTTTGTTTTGAAGGTTTTCAGCTCATTGTCTAGGGCCTGGTTCAGCTTCTCTTGTAGGGTAGGGTCAGTTAGCTGTAGCGTTGGGGTTGTAATCCGGAGAGCGTGGGAAACCTCCCCATCCCTGAACTGCTGCTGAAGCTCACATAGGCCGTTCGATACCTTGCTGAAGGTGCGAAGGCAGCTCTTGAAAGAGGCCAGCTCCTTCTCGAGCGCCTTGCGTAAAAGCTCGGGTATGGTCTTGAAGGGCGAGGAAGAGGGGGGCTCTGGTGGTGCTTTGTTGAGTAGCATTGACTGCATGTCTTCGAAGAAACGGTGCCAAACAGCAGGGAGATCTTCCGCTTCCTGTAGCCCATATGCCGCTTCCAAACCCTTCATGCCGAACTGCTCACCCCGCATAAGAGCTGCTGTTGTCTTGCCAATCTCTCTCTTTGTCAGCTTCACACTCTCTGGGGCTGCGTCTTCCTGGCTCTTTGGGCTTATAGGCTGCTCGGATGCTCTGCTTCGTCCTCTCCTCCACATGGGTCAAACTCCACAGGGCAGTAGAGGATATGGGTCCCGTCCCTGTTAGGTCCTTCATCCTTGGTCCCTTCACTGCTGCTGCTATCGTTCGGCTACTGCTGTGCTTGCGGTGCGGCTTCTGCTGCATTATCCTGTACCGGCAAAGGTGGTGTGGGGCTGCCCGGGTGGCTCTGTCCTTGCTGCAGCGCGGTAGTGGGTGGCATGATGGGTGCTGTTCCGTTAGGGGGTAGCTCACCAGTGCCCTCGCAAGCTCGTGGGAGATCGCTTAGGCGGTTGCTTGTGACAACCAAGGGTTCTCCCAGCCTCATTGTTGCTAGCACAGAGATCCCTGCCGTTGCTCGTCTCGTGTCATCAGCTTCTTCCGCAGGCTGTCTTGCCCTCTGCATTGCCTCGGCTGCGCTGGTTCCTGCTCCCTCATTCAGTTCCACCTGCTCCCTGCCGGTGCTTCCTGCTGCTGGGATAGCTGTAGCGGCTGCATCTGCATCTGTCCTGGCCGGCCCTCTCCCGTCCTCTTCCTCCCTGGCAGCTAGTGTCGTTGCTGCGGTGGGCTGCTGTTCACATTGCTCCTCCGCTGCCGTGTACGCCCCTGTCCCCGCTCCCCTCATGCCGCTGGGCCCAGCACCCTGTATGAAGAGGCTGCTGGTGCTACCCACCTGTAGCATGCCTGGCATTGGGCTGGTTTGTGCTGCCGGTGGGTTCAGACTTGGTTGTGGGGCGGTGGGAGTAGGAGTAGGAGCCGGTGAATCCAGGCCCGTTATCCCTGGAATTGGGGTGAAGGTTGGGTTGGTGTATGAAGGGAGTACCAGTGCTGCATCTGCCACCACCAGTGTCATTTCTGCGTCACCCGCTGTTGTTATCCCTGCTGTGTTGCCCGTTGCTCCGGCTGTTGCTGCTGTCACCCTTGCTGCTGGCGTCACTGCTGTGTGAGTTGCTGTAGGTGTCACTGCTGCATTGACTGTTGCTGATGTGCCTGTTGTACCCACTGTTGCTGGTGCGGCTAATGCCTGAGTGGCACGGGGAGCCGATGCTGTTGTTTCTGGTGCCGTTGCTGCCTTACCCGCGACCGGTGTTCCTGCTAGGGTTTAGGGTTTAGGGTTAGCTTGTTAGGTACATGCAGGTCTCCATCTCACTGTGTAGGGCTGATGAAGGGCTCTCCGACGAGCCTTCACACGCCCCGAACGGAGCACCGAGCGCTGAGTTACGCGCATTTAGTGCTATGGGCACGCCTGTAGCAGTGATCTACGCGGTTCTGTTCATGGCTTGGTTAGACGAGAGGTTGCTAGAGACAGAGCCCGAGTTGTCGCATCACGTCCTTCTCCACCGCAGGTTCATAGACGACGGGGTGGTGGTTTGGACGGGGACACGGGAGTGGCTGCTGGAGTGGGTGGGGGCGTTTGGTGGGTTGGAGCAGACTATTCGACTGACCCACGAGATCTCCACCTCACAGTTCACCTTGCTGGATATCACGTTCAGCAAGGGAGAGCTCTGGCAGACGACGGCTATCTTGGACACCACGACCTTCCAGAAGCCGCTCAACGTGTACCAGTACTTTCCTTTCTCCTCCGCGCACCCCTCTCACTGCAAGAGGGGCTTCATCTTGGGTGAGCTGCAGCGGTACATTCTGAGGGAGTCCAGTTCTCAGGGGTTTAGGAGTATCAGGTTGGCCTTCTACGCTCGGCTGCGGGCGCGGGGGTACCCAGACACTTTCTTGCAGCCGATCTTCAGCAGCATCTCCTACGCACGACGCCCGGAGCTTCTTGCCAGGTCACGGGCTCGGGGGGAGGGGGAGCAGGAGGAGCAGCAGCGGGTTCTCCCTCTTGTTCTCGACTTCCACCCGAGTGTGCAGCAGGTCCGCTGGGTAGGTTGCTGGCCTTCCCTCCAGAGGCACCAGCGTTTGAGCAGCTTTCTCACTACAGGGCACCTTTCGTGTCCTACAGGGCACCTCCGTCGCTCCGACAGCTACTCGTGCGAGCGTCGTTCAGGTGACTGGGGTGCCCCTCTCTCACAGCACGTCACTTGTCTTTTGTGGGTGTCGTGCCGTCTCGGTTTGTCGTCTGCCGCCTCCCCGCCCTTCCTCCTTGTTTCACGGCACGTGCACACGGGTGGGGCCTTGGAGCGAGCACCTTTCTGCACTTCGCAGCGGCGTGCTGCATTTGGTTGGGCCGTCGCAGCAGCACCATCCCCGGTCCAGTCTCTTTGTTTTCTCACAGAGGCTGGACCCAGGGATGCACGACAACCTCCCGCCTGACTTCTTTGATTTCAGCCACACAGGTCAGGCCCTGGGGCAGTGTGAGTGTACCTGCGACTACACTCTGCGTTCGTTGTGGATTGTATTTGTGGGTTACGCACTTGCACACTTGTACCATTCCCCATCCCAGACCGTTATGAGTACTGGGATGCCTTTCTCCTCTTTGCACGGGACTTGGGTTTTGGTAGCATGTGCATTGTACCTTCCCCACCTCTGGCCATATGAGCACAGGGGTGCCTTTCTCCTCTTGCACCTAGTGGGGATCCATGGGATTTGGGGTACCATGACACATGGCACATGTACTTGGCACGCCCCCGACCTTTATGAGTACCAGGGGGCACAGCACTGCGAGTGGGTGACTATGCCTCTTTCTAGTTTCGGGGGTTAGCTTGTTAGGTACATGCAGGTCTCCATCTCACTTTGTAGGGCTGATGAAGGGCTCTGCGACGAGCCTTCACACGCCCCGAACGGAGCACCGAGCGCTGAGTTACGCGCGTTTTAGTGGTACGCTCTCTGGTTTCGCGCGAATCTGGAGAGCGCCGGGCTGGCACCCGAACATGACTGTTCGCATGTTCCGGTTTTTTGCCACCCGGACCCGACGGTTACCCTGTACATTATATGTCGGACCATAAGCTCCGTACGGAGTGGAGGCTGCCGGAACCGTCGGATTCGCCATCTGGCGCCCGGATTGGGAGATATGGGCAGCTGGGTGTAGGCCCTTGGTAGGCTACACAGTTGGCAGCCTGCAAGGGCAGTTCTTTGCCTAGGTGGCAGGTTAGGCCCACATTGCACTTTAGGACATTGGGTTGGGACAGCTATAAGTAGGGAGCTCTTGCTAGGGTAGATCCTTGTCTTGCTGATGATGCCTTCGTGGCGAAATCGATACGAGACTGCTTCTACCTACACTTGAGGTACTTACTCTATTGCATGTCCCTACACCCCTAGGCTTAGGACTTGTGTTTTTTCAGCAGTTTGCTTGCCTAGCTAGAGGGTTTTTGCAGTTTTCTTGCATTCCGCTAGGCCATTTTCGTCGTCGTTTTTTCCTGCCGCTTGGGGAGCCTCGTGTTGCCCCCTGGCGGCCCTAGCCTACCCTTAGAGTAGTGCCATCGGCTAGACTTTCAGAGACTCGTGCCCCTCGACTTCTCCCAGTCTAGGCCGTTAGTCTCTCGTCCTACCGATAGGCCGTCACAGCCACTTTCTTCGTTAGCGACTCTAGACTGTCTGGAGCAGCACTGCAGCTCAGTTCTTTGAGCATTCCTATCAAACCCTAAACCTATTGCACTGACGCCGGTGTTGGAGAGTGGCGTAGACGATACAGACTCCTAGTTTTTTCCGTTTCGTTAGTCTTTTAGACGTCACCATGGGTGGGCTCGGAGTTTCTGCAGCGCCAGGCACTGGGGGAGGAGCCGGTGTCGGCGGTGCAGGAGACCAGGGGGGATCAGCGGCTGCAGCTATGGAGACTAGTGCACCAGCTACTGTCGCTGATATTACTGAGCAGTTTTGGCGTACTCGTAGACGGACCGAGCGAGACGAGGAGGACAGACAGACAGAGTTGGCGCTGGAGCAGCAGGCCGAGTGGCAGCGCAGCATACAGCAGCAGCTTCGTCTCAGGAATATCGAGGGGGATATCCTGCGAGACCGGTCCGTGATAGATAGTTGGGTTAGGATGATCTCTCGTGACAGGGAGCAGTTGGCACAGGAGGCAGCTTCCATTCGCGAGCAGCTGAGACAGGAGGCTGAGACCTTGGCACAGCAGCGGCAGAAGCGACCACGGCTTGGGCTACCGTCGTCGCAGCAGGAGCCACAGCAGCAGGGCCAGCAGCAGCAGCAGGGGCAGCAGCAGGCCTAGCAGCAGCAGGGTCAGCAGCGGCAGGGTCAGCAGCAATCTCAGCAGTAGCAGCCGCAGCAGCAGCAGCAGCCGACAGCCACTGGTGCGGCGGGTGAGGCTACTGCCGGGGGAAAGTAGACAGACACTCTTACCTCGAGGCTGTTTCGGCAGGTCTTTGGTGGTCTTTTCCCAGACACTTCTGGAGGCGGGGCAGCAGCCACAGGTGCAGCAGGTGCAGGGGCTGGGGCTGCCACGGACCCTGCTCTACTTTCCAGGGTGGCGGAGATTAGGGACGCCATCCAGGCAGAGACGGTACCACCAGAGTTTACAGCGCTCATAGAGACAGAGTCCGGAAGGAACTGCTGCTGCTGGAAGGAAGGCCCCAAAAAAGGCTGCTGGTAGAACTGCTGCTGCGCAGGTGCACCAGAAAAGGGAAGGTACGAGGGACCCTGGAAGAAGGAGCCCTGGTAGGGGCCGAAAGAGGACCCCCCCTGTCCGTACTGCCAAGAAGGCTGCTGCTGCAGGCCGTAAGGGCTGAACGGCTGCTGCTGCTGCTGCTGCGAGCCGTAAGAGCTAAACGTCCATGTCCACGTCCAAGTCCAGGTCCACGTCCACGTTCACGTCCACCACGTCCAGGTCCACGTCCACGTCTACGTCCGCGTCCACGTCCACATCAACGTCCATGTCTACGTCCACATCCACGTCCACGACCGCGTCCACGACTGCGTCCACGTCCACGACCGCGTCCACGTCCACGTCCACGACCACGTCCACGTCCACGACCGCGTCCACGTCCACGTCCACGTCCACGTCCACCACCACGTCCACGTCCACGTCCACGACCACGTCCACGTCCACCACGTCTACGTCCACGTCCACGACCACGTCAACGTCCACGACCACGTCCACGTCCACCACGTCAACGTCCACGTCTACGTCCATGTCCACGTCCACGTCCACGTCCAAGTCCACGTCCAAGTCCACGTCCACGTCCACGTCCACCACGTCAATGTCCACGTCCACGACCACGTCCACGTCAACGTCCACGTCCACGTCCACCACCTCAACGTCCACGTCTACGACCACGACCACGTCCACGTCCACGTCCAAGTCCACGTCCACGTCCAAGTCCACGTCCACGTCCACGTCCACGACCACATCCAAGTCAACATCCACGTCCACGTCCACGTCCACATCCACGTCCATGTCCACGTCCACGTCCACGTCAGCGTCCACGTCCTCGTCCAAGTCCTCCACGTCCACGTCCACGTCCATGTCCACGTCCACGTCCACGTCCACGTCCACGTCCATGTCCACGTCCACGTCCTCGTCCACGTCCATGTCCATGTCCATGTCCACGTCCACGTCCATGTCCACGTCCACGTCTACGTCCACGTCCACGTCCACGTCCACGTCCACGTCCGCGTCCACGTCCATGTCCACGTCCGCGTCCACGTCCATTGTCCACGTCCACGTCCGCGTCCATGTCCACGTCCATGTCCACGTCCCTATGCACGTCCACGTCCACGTCCACGTCCACGTCCACGTCCACGTCCACGTCCACGTCCACGACCACGTCCACGTCCACGACCACGTCCATGTCCACGTCCACGTCCACGTCCATGTCCACGTCCACGTCCACGTCCACGTCCACGTCCACGTCCACGTCCACGTCCACGTCCACGTCCACGTCCAAGTCCTCCACGTCCACGTCCACGTCCATGTCCATGTCCATGTCCACGTCCACGTCCATCTCCACGTCCATGTCCACGTCCAGGTCCACGTCCACGTCCACGTCCATGTCCACGTCCACGTCCACGTCCACGTCCACGTCCATGTCCACGTCCAAGTCCTCCACGTCCACATCCACGTCCATGTCCACGTCCACGTCCACGTCCACGTCCACGTCCCCGTCCACGTCCATGTCCACGTCCACGTCCACGTCCACGTCCACGTCCACGTCCACGTCCATGTCCACGTCCACGTTCATGTCACGTCCATGTCCACGTCCACGTCCATGTCCACGTCCACGTCCATGTCCACGTCCACGTCCATGTCCACGTCCACGTCCACGTCCACGTCCACGTCCACGTCCACGTCCACGTCCACGTCCACGTCCACGTCCACGTCCACGTCCATGTCCACGTCCACGTCCACGTCCATGTCCATGTCCACGTCCATGTCCACGTCCATGTCCACGTCCATGTCCACGTCCATGTCCACGTCCATGTCCACGTCCACGTCCACGTCCACGTTCATTTCCACGTCCATGTCCACGTCAACGTCCACATCCATGTCCACGTCCATGTCCACGTCCACGTCCACGTCTACGTCCATGTCCACGTCCATCTACGTCCACGTCCCCGTCCATGTCCACGTCCATGTCCACGTCCACGTCCATGTCCACGTCCATGTCCACGTCCATGGCCACGTCCACGTCCACGTCCGCGTCCACGTCCACGTCCACGTCCATGTCCACGTCCATGTCCATGTCCACGTCCACGTCCATGTCCACGTCCATGTCCACGTCCATGTCCACGTCCATGTCCACGTCCATGTCCATGCCCACGTCCATGTCCATGTCCACGTCCACGTCCATGTCCACGTCCATGTCCACGTCCACGTCCACGTCCACGTCCATGTCCACGTCCATGTCCACGTCCATGTCCATGTCCATGTCCACGTCCATGTCCACGTCCATGTCCACGTCCATGTCCACGTCCATGTCCACGTCCACGTCCACGTCCACGTCCACGTCCACGTCCACGTCCATGTCCATGTCTACGTCCACGTCCATGTCCATGTCCACGTCCATGTCCACGTCCACGTCCACGTCCATGTCCACGTCCATGTCCACGTCCACGACCGTCTACGTCCACGTCCACGTCCATGTCCACGTCCACGTCCACGTTCCTGTCCATGTCCATGTCCACGTCCACGTTCATGTCCACGTCCACGTCCACGTCCATGTCCACGTCCACGTCCACGTCCACGTCCACGTCCACGTCCAAGTCCACGTCCACGTCCACGTCCACGTCTACGTCCACGTCCACGTCCACGTCCACGTCCATGTCCACGTCCACGTCCACGTCCACGTCCATGTTTACGTCCACGTCCACGTCCATGTCCATGTCCACGTCCATGTCCACGTCCATGTCCACGTCCACGTCCACATCCATGTCCACGTCCATGTCCACGTCCACGTCCACGTCCATGTCCACGTCCATCTACGTCCACGTCCACGTCCATGTCCACGTCCATCTACGTCCACGTCCACGTCCATGTCCACGTCCATGTCCACGTCCACGTCCATGTCCACGTCCATGTCAAAGTCCATGTCCATGTCCAAGTCCACGTCCACGTCCATGTCCACGTCCACGTCCATGTCCCACGTCCGTGTCCACGGTCCACGTCCATGTCCACGTCCATGTCCACGTTCACGTCCATGTCCACGTCCATGTCCATGTCCACGTCCACATCCATGTCCACGTCCATGTCCACGTCCACGTCCACGTCCACGTCCATGTCCACGTCCATGTCCACGTCCATGTCCATGTCCACGTCCATGTCCACGTCCATGTCCACATCCATGTCCACGTCCACGTCCACGTCCACGTCGACGTCGACGTCCACGTCCACGACCATGTCCACGTCCACGTCCACGTCCACGTCCACGTCCATGTCCATGTCCACGTCCACGTCCCCGTCCACGTCCACGTCCACGTCCACGCCCACGTCCACGTCCACGTCCACGCCCATGTCCACGTCCACGTCCACGTCCACGGTCCATGTCTACGTCCACGTCCACGTCCACGTCCACGTCCCTGTCCACGTCCCTGTCCACGTCCCCGTCCACGTCCACGGTCCACGTCCACGTCCACGTCCACGTCCACGTCCACGTCCACGTCCACGTCCACGTCCACGTCCACGTCCACGTCCACGTCCACGTCCACGTCCACGTCCACGTCCACGTCCACGTCCACGTCCACGACCACGTCCACGTCCACGTCCACGTCCACGTCCACGTCCACGTCCACGTCCACGTCCACGTCAACGTCCACGTCCACGTCCACGTCCACGTCCACGTCCATGTCCACGTCCACGTCCACGTCCACGTCCACGTCCATGTGCACGTCCACGTCCACGTCCACGTCCACGACCACGTCCACGTTCACGTCCACGACCATGTCCACGTCCACGTCCACGTCCACGACCATGTCCACGTCCACGTCCACGTCCACGACCATGTCCACGTCCACGTCCACGACCACGTCCACGACCATGTCCACGTCCACGTCCACATCCACGTCCACGTCTACATCTATGTCCACGTCCACGTCCTCGTCCACGTCCACGTCCATGTCCAAGTCCACGTCCACGTCCACGTCCACCACGTCAACGTCCACGTCTACGTCCGTGTCCACGTCCTCGTCCACGTCCAAGTGTCCACGTCCACGTCCACGTCCACCACGTCAACGTCCACGTCTACGTCCTCGTCCACGTCCACGTCCACGTCCACGTCCACGTCCACGTCCACGTCCACGTCCAAGTCCACGTCCACGTCCACGTCCATGTCCACGTCCACGTCCACGTCCATGTCCACGTCCATGTCCACGTCCACGTCCACGTCCACGACCACGTCCACGACCACGTCCACGACCACGTCCACGTCCACGACCACGTCCACGTCCACGACCACGTCCACGTCCAGGTCCACGACCACGTCCACGTCCTCGTCCACGTCCACGTCCACGTCCATGTCCGCGTCCACGTCCAGGTCCACGTCCACGTCCACGTCCACGTCCACGTCCACGACCACGTCTACGTTCACGTCCACGGACCACGTCCACGTCCACGTCCCACGTCCATGTCTACGTCCACGTCGTCATGTCCACGCACGTCCACGTCCATCACGTCCGTCACGTCCAAGTCGACGTCCACGTCCACGTCCACGTCCACGTCCATGTCCACGTCCACGTCCACGTCCATGTTTACGTCCACGTCCACGTCCACGTCCATGTCCATGTCCATGTCCACGTCCACGTCCACGTCCACGTCCACGTCCACGTCCATGTCCACGCCCACGTCCACGTCCATGTCCACGACATGTCCACGTCCACGTCCACGTCCACGTCCACGTCCACGACCATGTCCACGTCCACGTCCACGTCCATGTCCACGTCCATGTCCACGTCCACGTCCACGTCCATGTCCACGTCCACGTCCACGTCCACGTCCACGTCCCTGTCCACGTCCACGTCCCTGTCCACGTCCATGTCCACGTCCACGTCCACGTCCCTGTCCACGTCCTGTCCACGTCCACGTCCACGTCCATGTCCACGTCCCACGTCCACGTTAACGTCCACGTCCATGTCCACGTCCACGTCCACGTCCATGTCCACGTCCACGTCCATGTCCACGTCCACGTCCACGTCCACGTCCACGTCCACGACCATTTCCACGTCCACGTCCACGTCCATGTCTACGACCACGTCCACGACCACGTCCACGACCACGTCCAAGTCCACGTCCACGACCACGTCCACGTCCACGTCCACGACCACGACCACGTCCACGTCCACGTCCACGTCCACGTCCACGTCGACGTCCACGTACCTGTCCACGTCCACGTCCACGTCCACGTCCATGTCCACGTCCACGTCCACGTCCACGTCTACGTCCACGTCCACGTCCACGTCCACGTCCATGTCCACGTCCACGTCCACGTCCACGTCCACGTCCATGTCCATGTCCACGTCCACGTCCACGTCCACGTCAACGTCCATGTCCACGTCCACATCCACGTCCACGTCCACGTCCATGTCCACGTCCACGTCCACGTCCACGTCCACGTCCACGTCCACGTCCCACGTCCATGTGCATGTCCACGTCCACGTCCACGTCCACGACCACGTCCACGTCCACGACCATGTCCACGTCCACGTCCATGTCCACGTCCACGTCCACGTCCACGACCATGTCCACGTCCACGTCCACGTCCACGTCCACGACCATGTCCACGTCCACGTCCACGACCACGTCCACGACCATGTCCACGTCCACGTCAACGTCCACGTCCACGTCTACATCCATGTCCACGTCCACGTCCACGTCCACGTCCACGTCCATGTCCACGTCCACGTCCACGTCCACCACGTCAACGTCCACGTCTACGTCCGTGTCCACGTCTACGTCCACGTGCAAGTCCACGTCCAAGTCCACGTCCACGTCCACGTCCAAGTCGACGTCCACGTCCACGTCCACGTCCACGTCCATGTCCACGTCCACGTCCACGTCCATGTCCACGACCATGTCCACGACCACGTCCACGACCACGTCCACGTCCACGTCCACGACCACGTCCACGTCCACGTCCACGTCCACGTCCACGTCCAGTCCACGTCCACGTCCACGTCCACGTCCACGTCCACGACCACGTCCACGTCCACGTCCACGTCCATGTCCACGTCCACGTCCATGTCCACGTCCACGTCCGTGTCCACGTCCACGTCCATGTCCACGTCCATGTCCACGTTCACGTCCATGTCCACGTCCATGTCCACGTCCACATCCATGTCCACGTCCATGTCCACGTCCACGTCCACGTCCACGTCCATGTCCACGTCCATGTCCACGTCCATGTCCATGTCCACGTCCATGTCCACGTCCATGTCCACATCCATGTCCACGTCCACGTCCACGTCCACGTCGACGTCGACGTCCACGTCCACGACCATGTCCACGTCCACGTCCACGTCCACGTCCACGTCCATGTCCATGTCCACGTCCACGTCCACGTCCACGTCCACGTCCACGTCCACGTCCACGCCCACGTCCACGGTCCACGTCCACGCCCATGTCCACGTCCACGTCCACGTCCACGTCCACGTCCATGTCTACGTCCACGTCCACGTCCACGTCCACGTCCCTGTCCACGTCCACGTCCACGTCCACGTCCACGTCCAGTCCACGTCCACGTCCACGTCCACGTCCACGTCCATGTCCACGTCCACGTCCACGTCCACGTCCACATCCACGTCCACGTCCACGTCCACGTCCACGTCCACGTCCACGTCCACGACCACGTCCACGTCCACGTCCACGTCCACGTCCACGTCCACGTCCACGTCCACGTCAACGTCCACGTCCACGTCCACGTCCACGTCCACGTCCATGTCCACGTCCACGTCCACGTCCACGTCCACGTCCATGTGCACGTCCACGTCCACGTCCACGTCCACGTCCACGACCACGTCCACGTTCACGTTCACGTCCACGACCATGTCCACGTCCACGTCCACGTCCACGTCCACGACCATGTCCACGTCCACGTCCACGTCCACGACCATGTCCACGTCCACGTCCACGACCACGTCCACGACCATGTCCACGTCCACGTCAACATCCACGTCCACGTCTACATCTATGTCCACGTCCACGTCCTCGTCCACGTCCACGTCCATGTCCAAGTCCACGTCCACGTCCACGTCCACCACGTCAACGTCCACGTCTACGTCCGTGTCCACGTCCTCGTCCACGTCCAAGTGTCCACGTCCACGTCCACGTCCACCACGTCAACGTCCACGTCTACGTCCTCGTCCACGTCCACGTACACGTCCACGTCCACGTCCACGTCCACGTCCACGTCCAAGTCCTCGTCCACGTCCACGTCCATGTCCACGTCCACGTCCACGTCCATGTCCACGTCCATGTCCACGTCCACGTCCACGTCCACGACCACGTCCACGACCACGTCCACGACCACGTCCACGTCCACGTCCACGACCACGTCCACGTCCACGACCACGTCCACGTCCAGGTCCACGACCACGTCCACGTCCTCGTCCACGTCCACGTCCATGTCCGCGTCCACGTCCAGGTCCACGTCCACGTCCACGTCCACGTCCACGTCCACGTCCACGACCACGTCCACGTCCACGTCCACGACCAAGTCCACGTCCACGTCCACGACCACGTCTACGTTCACGTCCACGACCACGTCCACGTCCACGTCCACGTCCATGTCTACGTCCACGTCCACGTCCATGTCCACGTCCACGTCCACGTCCATGTCCACGTCCACGTCCACGTCCAAGTCGACGTCCACGTCCACGTCCACGTCCACGTCCATGTCCACGTCCACGTCCACGTCCATGTTTACGTCAACGTCCACGTCCACGTCCATGTCCATGTCCATGTCCACGTCCACGGTCCACGTCCACGTCCACGTCCATGTCCATGTCCACGCCCACGTCCACGTCCATGTCCACGTACATGTCCACGTCCACGTCCACGTCCACGTCCACGTCCACGACCATGTCCACGTCCACGTCCACGTCCATGTCCACGTCCATGTCCACGTCCACGTCCACGTCCATGTCCACGTCCACGTCCACGTCCACGTCCACGTCCACGTCCCTGTCCACGTCCACGTCCCTGTCCACGTCCATGTCCACGTCCACGTCCACGTCCCTGTCCACGTCCCTGTCCACGTCCACGTCCACGTCCATGTCCACGTCCACGTCCACGTTAACGTCCACGTCCATGTCCACGTCCACGTCCACGTCCATGTCCACGTCCACGTCCACGTCCACGTCCACGTCCACGACCATGTCCACGTCCATGTCCACGTCCATGTCTACGACCACGTCCACGACCACGTCCACGACCACGTCCAAGTCCACGTCCACGACCACGTCCACGTCCACGTCCACGACCACGACCACGTCCACGTCCACGTCCACGTCCACGTCCACGTCGACGTCCACGTCCCTGTCCACGTCCACGTCCACGTCCACGTCCATGTCCACGTCCACGTCCACGTCCACGTCCACGTCCACGTCCACGTCCACGTCCACGTCCATGTCCACGTCCACGTCCACGTCCACGTCCACGTCCACGTCCATGTCCATGTCCACGTCCACGTCCACGTCCACGTCAACGTCCATCTCCACGTCCACGTCCACGTCCACGTCCATCTCCACGTCCACGTCCACGTCCACGTCCACGTCCACGTCCACGTCCATGTGCATGTCCACGTCCACGTCTACGTCCACGACCACGTCCACGTCCACGACCATGTCCACGTCCACGTCCACGTCCACGTCCACGTCCACGACCATGTCCACGTCCACGTCCACGTCCACGTCCACGACCATGTCCACGTCCACGTCCACGACCACGTCCACGACCATGTCCACGTCCACGTCAACGTCCACGTCCACGTCTACATCCATGTCCACGTCCACGTCCACGTCCACGTCCACGTCCATGTCTACGTCCACGTCCACGTCCACGTCCACGTCCCTGTCCACGTCCCTGTCCACGTCCACGTCCACGTCCACGTCCACGTCCAGTCCATGTCCACGTCCACGTCCACGTCCACGTCCACGTCCACGTCCATGTCCACGTCCACGTCCACGTCCACGTCCACGTCCACGACCATGTCCACGTCCACGTCCACGTCCAGGTCCACGACCATGTCCACGACCACGTCCACGACCACGTCCAAGTCCACGTCCACGACCACGTCCACGTCCACGTCCACGACCACGTCCACGTCCACGTCCACGACCACGTCCACGTCCACGTCCACGACCACGTCCACGTCCATGTCCACGTCCACGTCTACGTCCACGTCCACGTCCACGTCCATGTCCACGTCCACGTCCATGTCCACGTCCACGTCCACGTCCATGTCCATGTCCACGTCCATGTCCACGTCCACGTCCACGTCCACGTCCATGTCCACGTCCATGTCCACGTCCACGTCCACGTCCACGTCCATGTCCACGTCCACGTCCACGTCCACGTCCATGTTCACGTCCACGTCCACGTCCACGTCCATGTCCATGTCCATGTCCACGTCCACGTCCACGTCCACGTCCACGTCCATGTCCACGTCCACGTCCACGTCCATGTCCACGTCCACGTCCACGTCCATGTCCACGTCCACGTCCACGTCCACAACCATGTCCACGTCCACGTCCACGTCCACGTCAACGTCCACGTCCATGTCCACGTCCAAGTCCTCCACGTCCACAACCACGTCCACGTCCACGTCAACGTCCACGTCCACGACCACGTCCACGTCCACGTCCACGTCCATGTCCACGTCCACGTCCACGACCACGTCCATGTCCAAGTCCACGTCCACGTCCACGTCCACGTCCATGTCCACGTCCAATTCCTCCACGTCCACGTCCACGACCACGTCCACGTCCACGTCCACATCCACGTCCACGTCCACGTCCACGTCCACGTCCACCACCACGTCCACGTCCACGTCCACGTCCATGACCACGTCCACGTCCACCACGTCCATGTCCACGTCCACGACCACGTCCACGTCCACAACCACATCCACGTCCACGTCCACCACGTCAACATCCACGTCTACGTCCATGTCCACGTCCACGTCCACGTCCAAGTCCACGTCCAAGTCCACGTCCACGTCCACGTCCACCACGTCAATGTCCACGTCCACGTCCACGTCCACCTCAACGTCCACGTCCACGTCCACCACGTCAACGTCCACATCTACGACCACGACCACGTCCACGTCCACGTCCAAGTCCACGTCCACGTCCAAGTCCACGTCTACGTCCACGTCCACGACCACATCCAAGTCAACGTCCACGTCCATGTCCACATCCACGTCCATGTCCACGTCCACGTCCACGTCCACGTCCATGTCCACGTCCAAGTCCTCCACGTCCACGTCCACGTCCACGTCCATGTCCACGTCCATGTCCACGTCCACGTCCATGTCCATGTCCATGTCCACGTCCACGTCCATGTCCACGTCCACGTCTACGTCCACGTCCACGTCCACGTCCACGTCCATGTCCACGACCACGTCCACGACCACGTCCATGTCCACGTCCACGTCCACGTCCACGTCCACGTCCACGTCTATGTCCACGTCCACGTCCACGTCCACGTCCACGTCCATGTCTACGTCCACGTCCACGTCCACGTCCACGTCCACGTCCCTGTCCACGTCCCTGTCCACGTCCACGTCCACGTCCACGTCCACGTCCACGTCCAGTCCATGTCCACGTCCACGTCCACGTCCACGTCCACGTCCACGTCCACGTCCACGTCCATGTCCATGTCCACGTCCACGTCCACGTCCACGTCCACGTCCACGACCATGTCCACGTCCACGTCCACGTCCAGGTCCACGACCATGTCCACGACCACGTCCACGACCACGTCCAAGTCCACGTCCACGACCACGTCCACGTCCACGTCCACGACCACGTCCACGTCCACGTCCACGACCACGTCCACGTCCACGTCCACGACCACGTCCACGTCCATGTCCACGTCCACGTCTACGTCCACGTCCACGTCCACGTCCATGTCCACGTCCACGTCCATGTCCACGTCCACGTCCACGTCCATGTCCATGTCCACGTCCATGTCCACGTCCACGTCCACGTCCACGTCCATGTCCACGTCCATGTCCACGTCCACGTCCACGTCCACGTCCATGTCCACGTCCACGTCCACGTCCACGTCCATGTTCACGTCCACGTCCACGTCCACGTCCATGTCCATGTCCATGTCCACGTCCACGTCCACGTCCACGTCCACGTCCATGTCCACGTCCACGTCCACGTCCATGTCCACGTCCACGTCCACGGCCATGTCCACGTCCACGTCCACGTCCACAACCATGTCCACGTCCACGTCCACGTCCACGTCAACGTCCACGTCCATGTCCACGTCCAAGTCCTCCTCGTCCACAACCACGTCCACGTCCACGTCAACGTCCACGTCCACGACCACGTCCACGTCCCACGTCACGTCCATGTCCACGTCCACTGTCCAACGACCACGTCCATGTCCACGTCCACGTCCACGTCCACGTCCAGTCCATGTCCAGTCCAATTCCTCCACGTCCACGTCCACGACCACGTCCACGTCCACGTCCACATCCACGTCCACGTCCACGTCCACGTCCACGTCCACCACCACGTCCCCGTCCACGTCCACGTCCATGACCACGTCCACGTCCACATCTACATCCACGACCACGTCCATGTCCACGTCCATGTCCACGTCCACGTCCACGTCCACGTCCACGACCACGTCCATGTCCATGTCCACGTCCACGTCTACGTCCACGTCCACGTCCACGTCCATGTCCACGTCCACGTCCATGTCCACGTCCACGTCCACGTCCATGTCCATGTCCACGTCCATGTCCACGTCCACGTCCACGTCCACGTCCATGTCCACGTCCATGTCCACGTCCACGTTCACGTCCACGTCCATGTCCACGTCCACGTCCACGTCCACGTCCATGTTCACGTCCACGTCCACGTCCACGTCCATGTCCATGTCCATGTCCACGTCCACGTTCCACGTCCACGTCCACGTCCATGTCCACGTCCACGTCCACGTCCATGTCCACGTCCACGTCCACGGCCATGTCCCGTCCACGTCCACGTCCACGTCCATGTCCACGTCCACGTCCACGTCCTACGACCACGTCCATGTCCATGTCCACGTCCACGTCTACGTCCACGTCCACGTCCATGTCCACGTCCACGTCCATGTCCACGTCCACGTCCACGTCCATGTCCATGTCCACGTCCATGTCCACGTCCACGTCCACGTCCACGTCCATGTCCACGTCCATGTCCACGTCCACGTCCACGTCCACGTCCATGTCCACGTCCACGTCCACGTCCACGTCCATGTTCACGTCCACGTCACGTCCACGTCCATGTCCATGTCATGTCCCGTCACGTCCATGTCCACGTCCTCCACGTCCACGTCACGTCCATGTCCACGTCCACGTCAACGTCCATGTCCACGTCCACGTCCACGTCCACAACCATGTCCACGTCCACGTCCACGTCAACGTCCACGTCCATGTCCACGTCCAAGTCCTCCACGTCCACAACCACGTCCACGTCCACGTCAACGTCCACGTCCACGACCACGTCCACGTCCACGTCCACGTCCATGTCCACGTCCACGACCACGTCCATGTCCACGTCCACGTCCACGTCCACGTCCACGTCCATGTCCACGTCCAATTCCTCCACGTCCACGTCCACGACCACGTCCACGTCCACGTCCACATCCACGTCCACGTCCACGTCCACGTCCACGTCCACCACCACGTCCACGTCCACATCCACGTCCACGTCCATGTCCACGTCCACGTCCACCACCACGTCCACGTCCACGTCCACGTCCACGTCCACGTCCACGTCCCCCCGTCCACGTCACACGTCCAAGTCCTCCACGTCCACGTCCACGTCCATGTCCATGTCCATGGTCCACGTCCACGTCCATTCTCCACGTCCTGTCCACGTCCAGGTCCACGTCCACACGTCCACGTCCATGTCCACGTCCACGTCCACGTCCACGTCCATGTCCACGTCAAGTCCTCCACGTCCACATCCACGTCCATGTCCACGTCCACGTCCACGTCCACGTCCACGTCCCCGTCCACGTCCATGTCCACGTCCACCGTCCACGTCCACGTCCACGTCCACGTCCACGTCCACGTTCCACGTCATGTCCACGTCCACGTCCATGTCCACGTCCATGTCCACGTCCACGTCCATGTCCACGTCCACGTCCATGTCCACGTCCACGTCCATGTCCACGTCCACGTCCACGTCCACGTCCACGTCCACGTCCACGTCCCACGTCCACGTCCACGTCCACGTCCATGTCCACGTCCACGTCCACGTCCACGTCCATGTCCACGTCCATGTCCACGTCCATGTCCACGTCCCATGTCCACGTCCATGTCCACGTCCATGTC